GTTCCATATCCTGATGGGCGAACGGTCACTCGCCTTCGTGCCGATCTGCTCGACCGCATCCTGGCGGGCGAGGCTTGCCAAGGGCTGTTTGGGCGGTGGTCCAACTGGGAGGCTTGCAGGTTGCTTCTGCAGCTTACCTCGTAGGCTTAGGGCATTGAGATTTGCTATCTGCGTGCTCAGCCACACAGGAGCCCGCACCTGTGCAAGCTGGTCACATCGCGAGTGCAGGACCGAGGGCCTTCCTGATACAGTAGCCTGCAGATGTAATCGCATCCCACGATTTGCTCTGTGTCTCCGGCTCCAAGTTTCACAGCAAGTGTTTCCTTTAGGTTTTTCCAGTTACGCAGGGTCATTGCAGTCGCGACTCGCCATGGCTAGTTTCACAACACCAAAAAAGCGGCCAGTTAACTTCGACCCACCCTCGCCCGAGACTGACAAGGCGGATGCCCTCACCAAGCAACAGCGTCTATGTCTCCTTGGCCTTGGACCTGCCGATTTGGCAATCTTGATGGGAAGACATACTCTCTATCCGATCACTGCAACATGTGCTTCCGTCCCAAGCACTCGTGTGATTGGCAGTACGCAAAGCATCCGCAGCTCTGGATTTGCTCACCGTGGTGGCACCGGCCAAATCTCCGTGCGGCCACGACGGCTGCAAAGCCATGATCGCCGTCACAGCCCGTTATTGCTCACGCTGCGGAAAGCCCAACGCCAACTTCGACGTGGCCACAGAGGAGCTGTACCAGTCCGGGCGAAAGCCCGGTTGGCACAAACCCTTACAGGCACAAGCTACACCCCAGACAGACATGGAGCTCCAGCTTGCCAAAGGAGTGGGCGACTTCATGCAATCTGTGCGCAAGGCCCAGAAGCCCGCGGCAAATGCAGCGGCTGACACTCCGATGGTGCCGATGATGCCTGTGCTCCCACAGCAACCTGGTCCTGCTTCAGGGGCACCGAACGCCAAGGATGAGGCGGATGGGCCAGATCCCAAAGGCAGCAGCAGCAACATTGCCGAGCCGGTCTTTGACTTGAACTCAGCCAAAGGCATCACGGATTTGATCACTGAAGTGTTCCCTGCGGCAGATTTGCAAGCCCTGGATGGCAGTATCCCCGAGTTTGATGGTGTGCTGGAGCTTTTCGTGTCGTGGATCGTTTCTGGTAAACCCAAACAGTCCAGTTTGGCCAGCCACTTTCGGAATACGAGCTGGGACAAGGGAGACTTCGCAACGGCTAAGGCAAGGAAGGCTTGGTATTCTTTTTGGAAGAAAGAATACAAGCAGCGTTTCATCTCTCTCTCGGATATCAAGAAGTCAGGGGCAGGCAAGTGAAAAAAGGCTGGCCGCCTCTTCAGAGTAGGCTCTTCAGAAACCCCAAGTGTGCATCCATATCTGCCTGCATGTATGCGTGTAGATGGGGGGAAGACCCAAAGCCAGGACTTAGCCATGAAACCCCAAGAGTGCATCCATATCTGCCTGCATGTATGCGTGTAGATGGGGGGAAGACCCAAAGCCAGGACTTAGCCATGAAACCCCAAGAGTGCATCCATATCTGCCTGCATGTATGCGTGTAGATGGGGGGAAGACCCAAAGCCAGGACTTAGCCATGACTTTTGAAATCTTGCGTGTAGATGGGGGGAGAGCCCAAAGCCACGACTTAGCCATGACGTAAGCGCTTGCCTGTACCCTTAATAGGGTCCTAATAGGGATCTTTAGGGTCTAATAGCCCATTGTGGTTTGGCCCTAAAGCCTAAACCCTAAACCCTGAACCCTAAACCCTGAACCCTAAACCCTAAACCCTTTTGGCCTCCCGTCAGACAAGGCACCGAAGCCCCCAAGACGCCTGCTCCGGCGGCGGGTGGTGACGACGACGAGTTCTGAGGCCGCTAGTGTTGGCCTTTTAAGGGCTCTTAGGGCCTAAGTCTTAGGGTTTTTAGGGCTCTTAGGGCTCTTAGGGCTTTTAGGGTTTAGGGGCCTTTAGGGGCTTTTAAGGTTTAGGGTTTTGGGTTTAGGGGCCTTTAGGGGGCTCTTAGGGTTTTTAGGGTGTAGGGTTTAGGGTTTACGGGCCTTTAAGGGCTCTGAAGGCTTTTAGGGTTGAAGGTTTGTGGAGTGTTGGTGCCATTTTGGTTTGTTCAGGCCCTTTGGTGTTTGGTTCGTGGGATTGCGGGCTTTTTGGGTTTCATGGTGTAAGGCACTTGTCGATGCTCAATATTGGCAAGCGTTCCTGTGTTTAAAGGCTGTTCGGTTCTTCCCGTTATGATTGTTGGGTTTGGGGAGGGCTTGGGTGCTCGGAACGAACAGTTCAGTTTTGAAGGCGTGTTTTGAGGGCGGGGTGGGCTTTACTTATCTTCGGACTGAAGGCGTTTCGTTGCAGGGCCGGGGCGGTAATCTTAGAGAGATTTGTGTCGCAAGGCTTGACTCCCAAACAGCAAAAGAGTACTATAGGGGCCTAAATCATTACCAGTACTATTTGGGGGGGGGGTTCCTTACTAGATTTATAGGATTAAAGGGTCCCCAAACCTTAAATTCTAATCATCAAGAACCCTATAGTAAACAAGTGCAGAGAGACCTGGGAGTTGCAGGGGGGGCAGGACTGCAGGATGGTCCTTCTTCTGAAAATCCTGGGGTTCCTTTAAAGGGATCTAGAAGGGTACCTTTAAGGGGCTCCTTGAAGGGATCTATAGGGTTTTAGGGTTTAAGAGGGTTTAGGGTTTAGGGTCATGATATAAATCCTGCATTACCTTAAGGACCCTAAACTATGGGAAGTATGGTATATTCCTTATTATGGGTAGTGCAGGATTGATATCATCATCCGTTGGACCGACGTGTTTACTTGTTTGGCGGGTTTTGCACGGGTTCTTACAAGGATTCTATTGGTTTTGATGCTGAGGGTCTTGGCAGAAGCCGTAAACCCCCAAGCCAGACCCCCTCACAAAATGAAGCTTCTATAAAGTCAGGCCCCTGCATATCTCTAGAACTCTTGAAAGAGAGCTAGAAACAGGCTTCTTGAAGCCAGCAGCCCTGCGAGGTGCGAGGACGCCGGCCGTGACACAGAGAGCTCCGGTCACCAGGAGAGTGTTCTGAATTAGGGTCCCTTTTTTACGGTTCTTGTTGTGCAAGTAATGTAAGTTGTATCGTTGGGAGCAAAAGAAGGAATCCTACTGTTGATGGACAAAATCCTGCATGACCTTAAGGACCTGAAACTATGGGAACTATGGTATATTCCTTATAACGAGTAATGCAGGATTTTGTCCATCAACAGTACTTGAGGGAACTCGCCATCAGCTGAAGCAGGAAAAAGGTGCTCCAATTTGCATCTTGCAGGGCTGCAGGATCGTCAAGGGTTGCCAGCTTTTGCCCTTTTGTAGTCCTAGGTTCCTGCCAAAAAAGGGAGCCCTTTTTATTCCTAGGTTACTGGGCATCCTACTCTTAAGAGCTCCAGCACTACTCACAGCAATGACAACCCAGAGAGCCCAACCTCTCTAATTAAGGAATATACTTTAAGCTATAGGGGGCTTCATATTAGGATTTCAGCTATATTCCTTTATTACGGCGTATTGGGCTCTCAGGGAATCTTGCAGCCTCATTATGCTAGCAATTGTGACGATGGCCATGTAGACGATGTTGAAACCTTAGTGATTAGAAATATGATGTCAGCAAGGTTCTTTATTTGCATCTTCAAACATACTATATAGCCCCCAGCAACTTCTTCCAGCGACCAGGGCCCCGTATCTACAGATTGTAGAGGCCCGATGTATTAAGCCCTGCGATAGCTCCAAATGATTAAGGCAGCTAGCTTGTTCGAAAAGTCTCTCCCGAGAGTCTTGAACTCTGTTGCGGTTCTCCCGGAAAGCCAGGTTTAGGGTTTGGGGTTTGGTTTTCGGGTTTTGGGTTTAGGGCTTCCCCTTCCTTCATGGATATTCCTGTTTCAAATAGTCCTGCAAGGCCTGAACCCTCAAAGCGGGGGGTGGGTTTTCTGATCGCGCTCTGAGGCCTGTTTGAGGTTTTGGGCTGAGTAGTAGAGATGTCTGGCTTATACTACAACACTTCTTAACTCCCCAACCCTAACCTCAAGAGCCCGCAATAGTTGTGTGCTTACTTAGCACTGAGGTGCCCCCAAATTTAAACGGCCGGCGCAAGGGGCAAAGCTGAAGGCTTGAGAGTTGAAGTTTCGAAGCATTTGCTGCGCAGGCCTTGTTGGATTTAGTGTTCAGGTTTAGGCCTAAACCTCTTAACGCTGAACCTCCAAACCCCTAAACCCTATAAAGTTTGGGCGCGGCTGAGAAGGATTATAACTGGTGGTCAGTCATTAATTCTGCTGTTTGGAGTTCGGGTAAAGACAGAGGTCTGAAGAATTTGCAAGACTGCTTGTTCCCGTATGTGTGTTTATGGTTTACACACATTACAAATACCGTATCATCTACATATATAGATATATGCATATATGTAGAAGTACAGTCATAGATAGACAGATAGGTAGATGGACAGATCGATATAGATAGTTTTAGTCCCTATAAAACTGTGCTCTATAGCATACCTCGCAACACTACGGTTGATGATAGAAATCCTACAGTACCTTAATGACCCTAAACTATGGGAATTACGGTATATTCCTTATCATGGGTCATGCAGGATTTATACAATCAACCGTATTCTGACCCACTGGGGTCCTCAACGTAGCCGCGTGATAGAACCCCATATTGTTGAGGCGCCTAGGTATGCCAGCACGAAGAGAATGTACTTGAAGGCTCATGGGACTTAGTAAGTAAGGTTATAAGTAGGTTATAAGTAGCGTAACCCCACTTAGGGGACTTATAACCCCAATTATAACCTACTTACTAAGTCCCATGATCCTTTAAGTAGGGAACCATTATTAAACAAAAGTCTTTAGCTTTCTCCTTGGGTCCTTCAAAAGTCCAGATGAAGAGGCCCTTAAGCACCCTGAAGTAGGGTTTAGGGTTTAGGGCCTCAGAGAAGCCTAGAAGAAACGGTGCAACATCTGAGGCCTGGTGGTTGCCACGAGCTTCTTGGACTCAGGAAATCAAAGAAGGGCTCTTGAGGAGTCGATATTTGCAGTTCAACCCCACATCCACCAAAAACGCCTAACCACTGAACCTTAAACCCTTAAGAGACCACGCCCCAAGCAACTAACACTGAAAGGGTTCTTGAAGGGTCCATAAGGGGCATTCAACGGTTTACTCACCCTAAACCCTAAACCCTGTCCGTAGCTTTAGGTTTCTTGAATGAACGTTCAAGGTTGCTGCTCACGGCTCTGTCCCTTTCCCAAGGTCTTTCTAAGTGGTATTTAGGGTTTAGGGGGTATCCTTTGTGATTAGTTGGCTATTTGAGAGGAATACAGAATCTCACGGGATCTGCAGTAGTTTTGTGTAAATGAAGCACAGCCTTGTTCTGCAACAGCGTCCTCGACATCCGGGGTTGCTACTATGGGCGAGCCAAACCACGAAACCGGACCTTCCAAAAAAAAGTTTGGTTTATTTTTGCTGGGCTTTTGATATGCGGACGCAATCGTGAAGATTGTCGATGCTCATGGGAGCACAGAATCAGGAGATTCGGCAGTCGGCAGCAGCAACATCCGTTCCGAGCCGCTTGGGCAAGAGCGAACGAGGCCGCCGTTGAGCACGATTTGCCCAAAGTGATGTCGTCCTTGGACAAACGGCTCAGGAACTTTCAGTGCAAGTTAACCCTAAACCCCAAAACCCTTAAACCCCCAACCCAAAACCCCCTGCTTGCCTAGGGTTTTGGGGTTTGGGGTTTAGGGGTAGCAAGAGCGTGGCAGTGCTGGATAAGCAGCGGGACTACGACTGACGCAGGGCCGATTGGGAGTCGGAGTCGGATGATACGTGCATGTTTTCAACTCCAGCAGCGGAGTTGCTGCCGGGAGAAGCCAAGCAGTGGAGTTTCTCCCTGCACGGCAAAACGAGGTAACGAAAGACAGTGGCGTTATTCTTCAATTGTCGTACTATCGCATGGATGCGATGTTGTGTGTGGAGGTAGCGTTGGTCTCCTAGCTAGCAATAAGGTTTTGGATACTGCCTGAGCATGAAGGAGTCCAGCCTTTAATTCAGAGGGCCTGACCAGTAGAATAGGGTTGTTTGCGTTTAGTAACACAGGAGCCTTATCAGTCGTGTAGGATTTCCTTAAGGACGAAATGGACCCTAAAAGGGTTTAAGGTTCATATACCATATAGGGATTCATAGTATATGGATATAGGGCCCCTACTTTTAAGGGTCATTTCGTCCTTGAGGTTTGGGGTATATCATAGTATACAAACAATAACTCTTAAACACAAAGCTCAACACCCTCAAACCGCCCAAAGCAATATAGGGCTGAATACCTAATGATTCATAGAAGTTACCATCCCTTTATGTTTCCCGTTATATCTTGACAGCTCTAGACTGTAGCTTTACTACCTCCCCAAACCCTGTTCTTATGCCCGAGGTGTCTGGTGCTCTTCAGTATATCACTGCAAAACCCTCCAGCTTAAGCCCACACCCTGTTCCCAAGAAACCCTCAACATATAACTCCCAAACGTTACTTAAAGGCCCATGGAACTTAGTAGGCAAGGTCATAAGTAGGTTACTATCAACCCCACCTAGGGGACTTATAACCCCAATTATAGCCTACTGACTAAGTCCCATGATCCTTTAAGTAGTGCTCTTCGGCCACTCTTCCGATGACTGAGGACCCTGGCGTTTCCACGACTGGCCGATGCCGGAGAAGTGGCTTGCGGAAGTCTAGGTTCAGGATCTAGGCCCCAAGCCCATCTAAACCCTAAACCCGAAACCCAAGCCCTTAAGGGCCTTGGGGTGTATTCTAGTGTAGTGTATGTAGGTTTGGGGTTTAACGGTTCAGCATTATGGGCATGTTCATCTCAGCCGGCTCTTGGGACATATTGGTTTAGGGTTTAGGGTTCAGGGAATCAGATGTCCAGCCAACTCCGTGACCATAGCGCCGCCAGGATTTGTGGAAGCACTGGACTGCACAAACAAGCCCAAGACCCGGCAAAACCAACATCAGGGTTAAGTTTAGTATTCAGAGTTTGGGGTTTAGAGCCTAAACCCTAAACCCTAAACCCTAAACCGAGTTTAGGGCTTAGAGTTTAGCGCTTAGGGGGTTTGGGGTTAAGGGATGAAGACATCCGATTCCGACGAAGCGAACGCTGAAGGTGGCGAGAAAGCAGTCAAGATGGGGCGCTGGTAGAGGACGCCGGTTCAGGGTTTTTAGGGTTTAGGGTTCAGGGTTCAGGGTTCTCGGTTTAGGGTTTAGAGTGAATCCCAGAAAGTTGGAACATGGATTTAGGAGGATTAGTGCTAGGATCCCTTATCCTTTACCTTACGGGCATGGGGATAATGATGTTCCAACTTTCTGGCTTCTCCTGTAGGGTTCAGGACTCATGGTTTGTCGTTGACTCAAACATGCAGCACTGGTGTCAATCAATGTCCTCTTATGGGCCTGAACATCGCTACACCTTCCTTAAGTTAGCATCCATGACTACCCTCTGAACACCTAAACCCAAAGTCCTAAATCCTAAATCCTAAACCCCTATGCCCCTAAATCCCTAAACTACTAAACCCTACACCCCTAAAACCTAAACCTGGCGCAGAGGAGCTCAATTCGGCAGGTTTGAGAGTGGGATCGTGCCCTCCCGCCGGGATGCATCAAGGGCTAAGGAGGATTTTAGGGGCTTAGGCTTATAACCCTAAACCCTTATATTACCCTAAACCCTAAACCCTCAAATTACCCTCAACCCTTAACCCCCTTAAATTACCCTAAACCCCAAACCCTAAATCCTAAAACCGAAAAAAAATAGGGCCAAGGGCTGACCGAACTTTGGGTTCTAGTTTGAAGGTCTAGGGCTGAGGCCTCCAAAGGCTTTAGGGGTAAGGGTGTCAGGATTTCAGGGTTTAGGATTTGAGGGTTTAGGGCTTAGGGTGTAGGGTTTAGGGTTTAGTATTTAAGGGTTCAGGGTTTAGGGGTTTAGGGTGTAAGAGTTTAGAGGTCAGGGTTTAGGATTTAAGGGTTTAGGGTTTCGGGTTTAGGGTTTCCTGCGAGAGCACTCCCTTTTGCGGAGCACACCGTGTCAGTTCGGTCAAAGTACTCTTTTCTTGGCACGGAACTTGCTCGAGCGTACCGGTGACAAGGAATACAGTTTTTGATGCTAGTTACTACATCTTGCCACTATAGTATGCGGTAACCACCTTTAAACCAAAAAGCACCCTTTCTGTTTGGAGGTTACTCTTGGGTCCAAAAAAATAGTACAGGCAGCAGTAGTCGAAATAACAATGCTGCGGCTTTCCCTTTTTGGACTCGGGTTGCTACAATTTTGCTAGATCGCTTCATGATGTAGGTCTTGTGTGACGATCTAAAACCCGTTCGTTGGGATCAGAAGAAGTTTGATTGAACATAAGATAGAATAGTATAAGGTTTAGAGTTTAGGGGTTCAGGGATGGGTGGGGTTGCAGGAAACCCGGAACGTTTCATTCCAGACAATATGCCCCGAGCCCCAATATTGGCCGCATTTAGGAAGAGGATTGGTGCACAAAACACCTCGCGCGACCTTGAACCCGGAGACTCTAGCATCGCGCAGTAATGCAGGGCCTGCAAGAAACATCTATATACATATACATATATATATATATATTTATTTATATTTAGGATTGTTTATTTATTTCTATACTGGAATAACCCTAAACCCTAAACCCCTGAATCTCTGTGAGCTCATCATCTAACGCGAGTCCAGGTACACGTGCTCGTATCCATGCGAGGTATCTCTCACAAGGTCGGGCTCTTGCTGCTCTAACTCTAACGTAGGAACCTGATTAAGAAACCCGGGGCCCATAACCCCAAAATAGTATGGCTCGTAGGTTCCTACATAACAAAACTAATTACGACAATCCTGAACCCAATTACCTGGTGATTCAGTCGTTTGGACCCTCAGGGCCACTGCAGGGGCGTCCTTAAGTACACTAGACCCTCAACCCCAAACCGTAAGCGCTACACACTAATTAATCCCTAAAGTCCTAAACCCCAAGTGCTAAGCCCAATTCCCAGCGAATCGCTCATCAGGATCTTCACGGCTGTGTGCATCGAAGGGGCTGTCTTGAAGCAGCCACCCAGGTCGTCTCCGGCTGCAAATACTGTATGTAAAAGTCAACAAGTGGGACAGGTATTTGACACAGTTCGTCACGCGGAAGGGCTGGAGCATAACCTGAACAAGGAGTGGTTCCAAACCATGGCAGACCTGAGGAAAGCAACTTGCCAGGAGGCATTGAAACGAGTCATTACTCTTGCGGCGGAGGCCGAGGCCGATCCCACAGAAAATCCGTCCCACTACCCAGCAAGACGATTGTTTGGCCGGCCGGACCGTGCAGACGAATTTCCCTGCAGTGGATAACGAGACCCTGAAGCCCTAAACCTAAACCCCAAACCGTTGCTTCCTTCATGTGCTCATCGCCTGAGACCTCCAGGACCCGCGTCAAAGTAGTTAGTCCTTTATATGAGTCATCATTCGTCTCCTATATTCCGAATGAATAATACCCATAATTTTAAACAGCCCGAAATCCTGAACCTTAAGCCCCAAACCCGTACTTCCTGGCAGTTTCTCAACTTCTGTGTAGATTCATGTATACCTTGGCCCATTAAGCGGCATTCGGACGGAGGATTCGCCCTCGGCTGCACCCCTTTACCTTGGACATGCGGACCCTAAACTTTAAGCGTTAGGGTTTCGGGTTTAGAGTTTAGGTGTAACGCCCAAACCTAAACCAACAAATTACCAGCTCGTGCAGGCTGTTTTAACACTGCTACATCCAACGCGAGCCCTTGAAAAATCAATCAGCGGTACAAGCCGGACGGAATCTGAAAGCCCAAGGTTTATGGATCAGGGTTTAGGGTTGATGGCACGGAATGCAGGGCCAGGAAGGGAGGCCTTCTTATGCCTACGTCACTGCTTAAAGGATCATGGTACTTACCTAGTAAGTAGGTTAGAATTCGGGTTCTAAAACCCCTATGTGGAGGTAACCTAATTATAGCCTGCTTATAACTTAACTTACTATGTCCCATGAACCTCTAAGTGGGGATCTTAGTTACAGGTTTTGAGATTTCGAGTTTATTCAGCCATTCTATTGGGGTTGCTGTCTGTAGAGAGTGACATGTTCGCTGCAGGCGTGGGATTGGGACTCCTCAGGCTTATACCAGACGTTAAGCCTCAATCTCCTACACCTAAACCATCCTCTGTATACCCTAAACCGAAGGTTGCCTTTAAGGGCCGGGGAGCTCCAAGCTCCGATACCCTTCGATTTACGGTTGGTGCCCTTATTTGGAGTGCTTGAAGATGGTTTGTGAGCTCGGGCTGGTGTTCTTGGGCCATGTCAGCGACCCTTTTTTGGTTTTGGGGCTTATGGTTTGCTGACCTTTCAGCTTGTCCGGCCAGGCAGGAGCAACATCTCTTGGGCAAGGGATTTTGTAGGGGCTTATCATGCTTCTCACCACCAGCACCGCGAGCAGCACCACCACCACCGATTTGGGTGCATTGCGCCCTGTAAACTCTCCAAGCCCAGCCCAGCCCTCCATAACAACGTACATGACTCCCCAAAACTGAAGATGATGTGCCTAGGATCCTTACTTCACGGACCCTCAATGAGGGACTTCCACTTTAGACTGGAGAGGTGGCTCGATTTCCTGGCTACTCTGCGGCCAGAGGCCAAGGAGGAGAGGGGTGGGTGGGTGGGTGGGTGGGGAGGCCTTGAACCCTACTTCGAACCCCCAAACCATAAAACCCTAAACCCCGAACCCTAAGCCTAGACACTACCGAGTTCATAAAGCCCTCAACCCTGAATAAGTCTGGGGGCCATGGGACTTTCAGGTTTCCGTGGTGCACTCTAACGGCGATAAATGCTGCCCGTGGCATGCAATGTCCAGTACATTGAGTTGCTGCAGCGAAAGGCATCAGGCATACCTCGAGGCCATGCGCGGCGCCGAGGAGGAGGAGAAAGAGTTTCAGAAGCCTCGAACAGATGGTAAGGCGTTTCCGAGGCCGCCGACGACCTTCGCCAGTGCCCGTGGGCGTCTGTACTTTAGGCTGGTCCATCCTGACCGTCTCGCCAGAGTGAGGTTGTCTCGGGAGACTACGTCGTTTTTCATTCAAGCTTACAGTACCTGGTGTGTCGCCTTGACAGACGAGCATGTGGGTTGACACCACCTGATGAAGAGCAGCTCGCAGCTGCGTTACAAGCTCTTGTTGGAGCTGCGGTACGAAAGTGCCTGGCATGCTACGCTCCCCGGATCATGATCGTATAAAGCGCCCTCGAACCCTCGTTAGGTTCCATATTCTATATCGTGAAAGGTTGAAGCTAGTTGCAAACCAACATCTTTTGTAAGAGAGCCTTCGCTAAGTTCTTGCTGATGAGCGTCTTTTCAGTGTTGCAACGGTCGGTTGTTTTCGAGATTCCTTGTGTACTGCTCCGAGGGCTGCAGCCTCTTTCAAGCCTTAATCCTTCTATACGCCCCTGATTAGTAAGACCCTTCCCTTGTAGAACCCCTAAAAGCTGTAACAAAAACGATCATGGAACCCTTACTAGACCCCATAAAACTTCATAGAACCGACTTGAGATCGACGAGGTCTCAGCCCAAAGCCCAAGTGCTGAACTTAGGGCATAAAACGACACACATTGGGGTTTATGGGTTTAGGATTCAGCATATAGTGTTGAAGGCTCTATGAAGGCTTAGATTTCGGAGGATGAACGTCGGGTGTAAGTGTAGGTTGTTTTTGAACGATCAGAGGCTCATGGATTAGGTCCTAGGGTTTTGGGTTCCCCTAAGGGTCCAAAGGACCCAATAATCGGGTACTCAGCTTTGGGATAGTAGCTATGTAGGTCAGGGTTTTGGAGCGTATATGATTATTGGGTACTTCGACCCAGAGGGCTCAGTGTCGAGTGTTTTAGACACTACCCTATAATGGGCTATATCATGGGTATATAATAGTTATATTGAGGGTAAATACCTAGGGGTCCTTGTTAAGGGTCCCTCCCTTTACCCATGGATTTTAGAGAGGCACTCAGCGAGCATCAAGTGACACAACCTGGAGACGCCTGGGCTCCAGGAAGCCACACCCCTAAACCATAAACCCCAAACCCTAAACCCTCAAACCGTGGAGATCAAAGTCAAGTTCGAGCTCTGCTGGGAAATGATGCCTGACGAAAGCAGGGTCTGGGGGTGAACGCACCTTTCGAGTTTCGGGTTTCGGGTAAAAAAGCTTAGGGTTTAGAGGTTTAGGGCTTAGGGTGAAGAGCTTAGAGTCTAGATTAAGGGTAGTGGGGTTTAGGACCATAGTAGCATCACAATCTTGGTGATCTGCAGCTGACGATGCTCGTCCTACCCTGTTCCCTCTCCAGGATTCTGCTCTTTCTATTTAGACCCCGGCATCTTTGGCTTCAAGCCTCCAGCGTCTATGCGAGGGAGCCACGACTTGTTTTTGTTCTGGACATCCTGGTGGCTTTTGCGTAGGCGTAGGTTTGGAATGAAGGGAATATGTAGGCCTGAATAATTGCCTATACTAGCCTATACTATTTTGGGGGTTCCTTGTTGTTACTACAGTATAATACAGTAATAATACACCCCAAAAAACCCTATTCTAAATTTTTTTGGCCCCTATATTGTATAGACACATTTTGTTCCCCTACATTGAACCCTTTGAAAGGAAAACCTATTCCAGTTATTAAGGATCCTCTACTCGTCTGACTTTCCCGTTGCGAGGAGATTCGCCAGTTCGCTGCGGGGCTGAGGTCTTATGGGGGTGTTTGGGGGCCGTGGGGCTGATGGGATATGGTTTAGGGCCGTTCAAGGATGTAGGGGTGTAGGGGTTTCGGGTTTAGGGCTTCAGGATTTAGGGGTGTTTTGAGGGGTTTGGGGTTTTGGGGTTTTGCAAACCCAACTTGCCCAAAGCCGAGTACCTCATTACACCCCCAACCCCTGAACCATTCTGAACCCTAAACCCTGAATCGCCGCCTGGAACCCTACGCCCTTATAACGCTTTACAACGCGTCATCAAAGAGTCAAAGATCTTTGAAACCCTGAACCGTGAGCCCAAACCCATTCAAGTCTGTTGGCTTTGCAAAACCCCTAAACCCCAAACCCCTAAACCCTACATCCCTACACCCTAAACCTTTAAGCCTCTACACCCTAAACCCTCAACCCTCTACACCCCTAAACCCTATGGTGTCCCCGGCTTCGATTGAGTATTGATATTTGGGGGGGGGCTCCTATCCCATGCACCCCTGGCGGAGCTCTTGCCCTAGAGGCCCTGTTGTTCCTAAACTGAGCGGCTTTTAGGGGTTCAGGGTTTTTAGGAGTTTTGGGGTTTTTAAGAGTTTAGGGTGTTTAGGCTTTTAGTGTTTAGGGTTGCCCGGTTTGGGGTGTAGACATCAGGGTAGTCCAGATGAACTTGTTTTTCTTCTGCCGAGCTTTGGAGACAAGCAGAAGGCCTGGTCGGTTTTCTTGCACATACCGCCTCTTCTGCCAGGACAAGCATGCTGCCCTTCCTTCATAAACATCATTACGAGGCCTGGAAGATTTTCTTGCACATGCACCTGGTCTCGGGGCTCTGCAAGTGCTGCAGGCTGCAGCTTTGTCGCCGAGCGGGCACGAGGTGCACCCTCATTTGTGCAAGCCATGCTGAATTGCGACCCCACGCAGATATCAAGGGGAAGGGGGGCAGAACCATGCACCATTGCGTGCCTAATATCCGCATCCCCCCCAAAGTGCTGGACCTGGCGGAGGCTGGCTTCAACCGGGCCATTTGGACCTTCAACAATGGACCTTCAACAAGCCCCAGCATGAAGGGCGTGATTTCTCAGCAAGGGCCTCACAGCACAGGCGCGAGAAAGCACCAACTTGCATTGACGAATGCTCACAGCACGTGCTTGCAGAGGAGGTGCTCCTGACACCTTGCTGTAGGATCGATTTTTGGGGTTCCTTATTATAAATAGAATATAATATAATGGGCCCAAAACCCTGTTCTAATTATAAAGGCCCCTATAGTATATGAGCCCCAGCATGGGAGCACTGATGTCAGAGCGAGGGTCTCGCACTTGGCCTGTACTTGCCGAGACGCTCTCAAAATCCCGAAAACAAAACCTCCTTACCGAAGTATACTATACAGGGGTTAAACATTACATTCCAACACACGCTACTTAATGGAATAGTTTACCGTAATTAAGAGGGGATCTTGGGTTGGATAGTTGCGTCTCTGGGTACCCCTACCTCATGCGCGACGTACCAGATCACCTTGAAGAACGCCGGTCCAAACATCCCGCAGATGGCTGGGTTCCGCCCCCTTCCACCTGGTGCCTGGTGCCATAAGCCCGCAACCTTCAACCCTGAACCCCTAGCGTATGTTATGGACTTGGATTTTGCTTAGCTGGTTTAAAATTTGTCTATACTCTGGAAAGCCTTGTACACCATGAAACATGCATGGGAAGTTCCAGAAGCTGCCCCGGAATATCAATTGCGGCTTGTTCGGGTGTAGGGTATGCAGTCCTGAGCCCTCAAATAATCCACATCTTCGATGTGCTTGGGAAAGTGAGCCCTCAACCCCAAACCCTAAACCCCAAACCCTAAATCCTAAACCTTAAACCCTAAACCCCAAACCCTAAACCCTATAGAAGTCATCCCCCCAACCCCCAAAGCTTCTTCCACACTTTAAGTATGTTATAATCAGGATAACCCCACTTAGGGGACCTATAACCCCAATTATAACCTACTTACTAAGTCCCATGATCCTCTAAGTAACCTAAACTACCCCCTATAGAACCCTTATATTATAGATCCCTAAACCCTTTAAGGAGCCCTTTAAGGAACCCTAAGTCCCATGATCCTCTAAGCAGGGCCGGCGGAGAAGAGGTGTAGCCTCCTCGGCAGTGTTTTGCGTTCGTCTCCAGGGTTCTGGGCTTTAGGCTTTTAGGGTTTAGGGTTTTGGGGTTTTAGGCTTTTAGGGTTTTGGGTTTTGGGGTTTTAGGGTTTTAGGGTTTTGGGTTTTGGGGTTTTAGGGTTTTTGGTTTTAGGGTTTAGGGTTTTGGGGGTTTTAGGCTTTTAGGGTTTAGGGTTTTGGGGTTTTAGGCTTTTAGGGTTTAGGGTTTTGGGGTTTTAGGGTTTTAGGGTTTTGGGTTTTGGGGTTTTAGGGTTTTTGGTTTTAGGGTTTAGGGTTTTGGGGGTTTTAGGCTTTTAGGGTTTAGGGTTTTGGGGTTTTAGGGTTTTAGGGTTTAGGGTTTTGGGTGTTGGGGTTTAGGGTTTAGGGTTTTGGGTTTTGGGGTTTTAGGGTTTTGTGTTTTAGGCTTTTGGGTTTTGGGGTTTTAGGGTTTAGGGTTTTGGGGTTTTAGGGTTTTGGTGTTTTAGGCTTTTGGGTTTAGTAGGGTTTTAGGGTTTAGGGTTTTAGGGTTTCGGGCTTTTGGGTTTAGGGCTTATAGAAATCAGGTCCCTTTTTTTTGGTGGATTTCGCAGTTTGCTTTGCGCTTGCCCCCAAGCCCAAAGCTATTCTTTTCGCAATTTTGGAGGTGCTTGGAGAAGCCGACAAGCCTTTGTTTTTGCAGTTTGGACGTGTCAGGGGAGGCCCAACATCGTCAACAATCGCGAAAAGTTTCAATTTGGGAATCAAAAAGCACATTTTTTGCAATTTTTGAGGTCCCTACGTCCAGAACCACGAACATTGACCGGGTTCTCCAAGTCTGTAAAATAAGCAACACGCATCATATTGCATTTTGGTGATCATTTCAGGTTAAGGTTTGAATTTTTACGTTTGGGGGTTTGCGGTGGTTAGGGCTTAAGTATTACGGTTTGGAGTTTTGCTGTTCATTTTGTGGGGTTTAGGCTCTCCGGTTCGAGGGTTTGGGCTTCATAGGGCTTAGGGCTTAGGGTTTTTGCGGCTGAGAGTTTTGAAAGCTCGAAACGAACTTGTACGGTTTCGGATTTCCTGGGCTTCGTATTTGGATTCTGTCGGGGGGGTTGCCCAGGTATCTCCAATTCCGAGATCGCGTGGTCTTCGTGGTTGGAGAGGCCTCTGCGTCTTAGGGGTACTTAGAATTTGTTTTTAAATTAAAATCCCTAAGAGACAGCTAAAATTAGAATCTTTGCTAGGGTTCTAAGTTCAGTATAGACGTGTGCTGAGCCATAGGATGGTTCCATATCTGGACCCTAAGGAACCTACCTTTTTTGGGGTTCCCTAATATGATTTCTTTATATAAGTCCTTAAAAAGGTAGGTTACTTGGGGTTAAGGTAAACTACTATTTGCTTAAGAACCCCCAAAAAATAAAAGATATATTCCTTATGGGGGTAATATAGGGACTATTATTTTTATTTTTTTCGTGTTTCTTAAGCAAATAGTAGTAAACTCAAAGGGCCCAAAGGACTCAATAATAAGGTACTTGGGTTTAGGATAGTAGTTAATTATGTAGGTTAGGATTTGGGAGAGTATATGATTATTGGGTACTTGGACCCTTGGGGAAACCACCGTAGCACAGCACTCGGCAAAGCGTGAGCGCACCGCCGACATGATAATGAGTGTCGTCGTCGTCGTCGTCGTCGTCGTCGCTGTCGTGTAAGTATATTATCGAACACAAGCTTGCAGATTTTGCAGCAGCAGACACAAGAGACCTCGACACCGCTGCATTCATATGCTGGGTCTACGGAACTTCAAACTCACTCAGAGTCCAGGGATTGGCGCTTAGGGCTGAACATGCTGAGGGTGTACTTAAATGATCATGGGACTTAGTAGGTTGTAATTGTGGTTCTAGGTCCCCTAAGTGGGGTTATAAACCACTTATAACCTTACTTACTAAGTGCCCTGAGCCTTCAAGCAGGATTGCGGGAGAAACGTTATTCTCTGAAGCTCGTAAACCCCGCACTTGACATCAATGTCTCTGGACTACGGTTCCTCGACCAGGTCTAGGGCGTGTACTGCAGGGGCCTTAATAATTAAAATCTGGTTTTGGGGATGTTATACTGTAATGATAATAAGGAGCCCCCAAAATAGTATAGCTAATTATTAAAGCCCTATATTACATAGGGTCTATGAGGTACCGCTTCAAAGAGGTTATCCAAGCACGCGCAGCCCCAGAAACTAGAGCTTCCAATAGTTTGGAAGATCGGCGCCTTATAGGCTCCAAGTAGGGTTTAGGGTTTAGGGTTTAGGGTTTAGGGACTTAGTAAGTATAAGGTTAGGTTATAATTAGGATAACCCCACTTAGGGGACTTATAACCCCAATTATAAGCTACCTACTAAGTCCCATGATCCTATAAGTATGCGACAATATGTGGGTGGTTCCCTAAACTGACAGGAACCCAAATCATATGAAATGGATGGGCCGGGGCTCCGTTGTCCAAAGGGGAAAATGAGGGACCCTTAATACGGACCCCTAGGTATATACCCTTAATATAGCTGTTATATACCCATTATATAGACCATTATATACCTCCTAAACTCTAAACCCTAAACGCCTAAACCCGAACCTCAGAGACAGGCCCCGGGCCCCTCCCCGGCGAAGCGGCTACGGCTTCTGGATCCCCTGATGGGAAGGCACGGCTCTATAGAGGCCTTTGAAGGTTACTCTAGGACCTAGAGTAGGCCCTTATTCCCTTTTTAAGGGTTTAGGTTCCCTTATAACCCCCTTTAAACCAAAAAGGGCACCCTTTTTATTCCTAGGTTACTCTTAGGTCTAGTACTGGAGGCGTTCCTGCAAAGGTTCCGTAAAGGGTTCCGCTGAGCCTGTAAGGGTTCCGTCAGGGGTTACATGGCGGGATCGTGAAGGGTACCTTTACATAGCGGTTCCATGAAAGGTTACTTAAGGCGTTCCTACAAAGGTTCCTTTAAGGGTTTCGTTGAGCTGGTAAGGGTTTTGGGTTTGGGGTGTCTTTAGGGGTTACATGGGGCGGGGGTTCAGGGTCCTTTTATATAGCGGTTCCAGTAAGGCTGACTTGAGGGGTTCCTTCAAGTGTTCCTTCCCGGGTTCTTGTAGGTTGCCATTTCGCCTTCAAGGTTTCCAGGGTTGAGGATTTAGGGTTCAGGGCTTCGTTTTGCAGATGTTGAAGCTTTAGGTAGTTGGTTTTTCGAAGCTTCTATCGGGGGCAGCTGGGTGCCATAAGTTTCACAAGGATGAGGGATGAGGATTCCAGGATGTTCAGCTGGTTTGTAGGGCTTCGGGCGAAGCATCATGTGTCTTCTAGGTTCTTGTGCAAGAGTTAACTTTGTACAGATTTTATGAAGGTAGCTTAAATTGAACTCCTTATCAAGAGCCCAGTTTCTTACGAAGTATATACCACCGAGATTTCTTGGGGTGATCCCCCGCAACCCTAGCTCCTGAACTGCTAAACCTGACACCCTGAGGAAGAGGCTCTCTGCTCTGAATCCCTGGTGCAATGCCTACTTGAAGGATCATGGGACTTAGTAAGTAGGTTATAATTGGGGTTATAAGTCCCCTAAGTGGGGTTATCCTAATTATAATCTACTTATAACCTAGCTTACTAAGTCCTATGAGCCTTTAAGTAGAGAGGCCTTGAAGGGTCCCTAAAAGCAGAAACCTCTTCATAAGAACCCCATAGGATATACCACACCGTGGAACGGCATCACCGATACCCTGAATCCAAAACCCTAAATCTGCCACCAGGCCAAAAGCCCCAAACCCCAAACCTGCATCTCTGACGGAATCCCAAACCCAAACACGTAGACCCCAAAACCCACACCCGACACCCCCAGGAGCCTCCTCTTAGCTTTCTGCATTTTTTAGATCCCTTACTTGGAGGGTCGGGGGACTTAGTAGCTGGTTATTTTAGGGACTTAGAAGTACCATAACCCCAATTAGGGTCCCTTTTAGGGTACTTATAAGTCTACTTACTACCTACTTACTAAGTCCCCCGATCCTCCAAGTATAGTATCCTTCGAAGGAGCTCGAAACCTTAAGCCATCAGGCCTGAAGTGGATTAAGGCCCCTGCATGAAACCCCCCGAGAGGAGGCTCCCACCCTAAAGCACCCTACCACCCTCAACCCTAAACCCTATAAGCCCTACCAGCCTAAACCCTGAACCCTACAAAGCTACTTAAAGGCTCATGGGACTTAGTAAGTAAGCTTATAAGTAGGTTATAATTAGGATAACCCCACTTAGGGGACTTATAACCCCAATTATAACCTACTTACTAAGTCCCATGGTCCTCCAAGCTACACCCTAAATGAAACCCTACCAGCCCGCCGAGGAGGCTCCCACTAGCTCTTTGCCTTGCCCGGGACGGCTTCGTGGCCTCTGCGGGAGCTCTCGGAGCGAACGAGGCAACTTAGGGGTACTTAGAAATATTTTTTATATTTTTGGTTACTATAACACCGAAGAAACAGCTAAAATTATAATTTGTGCTAGGGTTCTAAGTTCAGTGTAGGCAAAGGGAGGGCCCTCCGGATGTTTGTGTTTTGTTTGTAAGCGTTGCTTCTAGGTCTAGTTTCTGTTTGCAAAAGGGGATGTTTAGGTTAAGGGTTGCTCTGGTGTTCAGGTTTTGGTTTTGGGGTTTGTTTCGGATTGCTTTTTGGGTTTGTTTTGAGTTTAGGGGTTTGTTTCGGACTGCTTGTAAGTGTTTGTTGTTGGTGTAGGGTTGTTTTAGGGCTTCTGGCTTGTACGGTTTTGGAGTTTAAGTTTACGGTTTTGGTGGCCTTTATGGCTTGAGGATTCAAGATTCGGGGCTTTCAGAACATGAAGGGTCTAGCAGGAGAGGCCTAGTACATGTGGGTGTCCTCTTTTGATTGGTACTACTGATAAGATATAAGAAGGATTCTGCTATTATAAGGATGTCGGGATTTTTAGCCAGGGTTTTGAGGTTTGGGGGACTTGACGCTGCAGTCACTTCAGACGGAGACAGAGTACTCGGAAGAGGACGGAGGTGCCGCTTTCACCGTTAAAAGAGAAGATGAGAGAGCAACTTTCGTCGATGACAAGCGCGGAGCAATTTGGGAGTTCATCGAAATTCAGGGGCATCTTGTTTTGGGAGTCCTTAGAATCCGGACCCACTGTTTAAGGTACTATATTAGGGTCCCCTCTTTTCGGAAACTCCCAGTTGGTGCTTGTCGACCATTCGAACTTGGGGTATTTGAGGGATAGACGGGATAGACGATAGATATCAACCAGCATCTCTCCAAGCTTTTTTCCCCCTACGTTTAGCGTCCATAGCAACCTGCGTTCCAGATTTGTCGCGGGGTCTGTGTGTACAGACCCTAGACCCTTAACCTCAAACCGTGGAGCTCAAAAAAATCAAACTGTGGGTATTGAATATAGGCTAGAAGCCATATTATCTACTATAGATCCGTACGATGGTAACTTAAATTCAAAAAACATTCCTTAACAAGAACCCAGATCATACTCAACCCCAAACAGGCAGCAAAGGCTTTGGCTTCTCTTGACCAGCCACTTGGTCGACTGCAAGTCTGGATTTTTTCAGGGTTTTAGCAGTGCTTATCGGGTGCATTCAGGGTTCAAGAACGGCTTCGGGTTTAGGCTGTTATGGGGTCTTACAATTAATTCAGTGTAGGTTTAACGGTTAAAGTTTGAAGGTGGTTGTTGAAAACCATTGCTTTGTATAGGTCTTGGAGTTACGGGTTCAGGGGTTTAGGAGGACCTGTCGGTCGGTGACATCAGGGACATGCTCAACTTCTTGACTCCCGCACACGGCTTCGTCGCCCTGCTCTTCCAGGTCCTTGAGCTGTCATGCTAGGTTCCGAAGTCGGCATTCTGGTCCAAAGCCCCAGAACTGAAGTCCCATTAACCCCATCGTTCATTTAGGCCCTTACACGCCTTTGAAATGTCGCTTCGGAACCACATCACCCCGAGGCATGCAGCCCGTGTGCTGGGACCTGGAGTATCCTGGCTGGCAGGTCATGGGGTGGTTGAGTTTGTTGTGGAGTTTACGGGTCAACGCGACGACAGTGCCACTCACGACGGCCGCGATGACGACTAGCATGATAATACTAGTGATAACAGCACCATCAACTAGAATTGAAGTGTTTCGTGAGTTGTCACGATCGCCATGAAAATCAGATCCCTTACCTGCGAGACCAAGCAATGAACCAGGATATCCATTCTTCAGGCAAGATGAGACAAGAACACCCCCCTCAACCCCTGACGATAAAGCACCCTGCTTAGACGCTCTAGCTTCAAGCACACAACCCCAAACCCCTAAACTCTGTTAATGGGAAGTTGGGGCCTGGCTTCTCCTACGAGGATGCCTTAGGTAGCAACACGTAGCAAAAACATGGTACGTGAACATGTGAACCTGGACGAGCTTGTGGCAAACTTGGACGAGGCGCAGCTGGCCAGTCTGGCCGCGATTGTCCAAAACTGTGCGCTACCCGCCGCCGCCGAGCCAGCCCGCCCCCAGTGCGACCTCTGCGGCAAGAGCCTCTCGACGATGCAAGCCAGAATCTCCCACAGAAAGAGCTGCAAAGGAGCGCCACCACCACCAGATTGTACCCAATGCCTGATCAGCAGCTCCTGCCCACACTGTGAAGGGGGTGCGCTGTGAACGGGTCGGCGCCGTCTTAGTACGGAGAGCAGAGTCTTATGCAGCTGCGAGAACGGTATGCTGCCTCGGAAACTGGATGGATCCATCCGGAACCAGTGCGAGAGGAGAGAGGGTAGTTAGGGGGTCTAAGTACGCTATTCAACCCTAAACCCCTAAACCCTAAAACCCTACACCCCAAACCCTAAACCCCAAACCCTAAAACCCTACACCCCTAAACTCTAAACCCCAAACCCTAAAACCCTACACCCCTAAACTCTAAAACCCTACACCCCAAACTCTAAACCCCAAACCCTAAAACCCTACACCCCTAAACTCTAAAACCCTACACCCCAAACCCTAAACCCAAAACCCTAAAACCCTACACCCCCAAACCCTAAAACCCTACACCCCTAAACTCTAAACCCCAAACCCTAAAACCCTACACCCCTAAACTCTAAAACCCTACACCCCAAACCCTAAACCCAAAACCCTAAAACCCTACACCCCCAAACCCTAAAACCCTACACCCCTAAACTCTAAACCCCAAACCCTAAAACCCTACACCCCTAAACTCTAAAACCCTACACCCCAAACCCTAAACCCAAAACCCTAAAACCCTACACCCCCAAACCCTAAAACCCTACACCCCTAAACTCTAAACCCCAAACCCTAAAACCCTACACCCCTAAACTCTAAAACCCTACACCCCAAACCCTAAACCCAAAACCCTAAAACCCTACACCCCCAAACCCTAAAACCCTACACCCCTAAACTCTAAACCCCAAACCCTAAAACCCTACACCCCTAAACTCTAAAACCCTACACCCCAAACCCTAAACCCAAAATCCGCTCAGACTCCGAAACCCGAAGCTTCAGAGCCTTGAAGTCTCCTGCACGCTCGTTGTTAAGGTCTAGAAATGGGAGTTTCCGAACATTAGGGGTACCAAATATAGTACCCTAAATAGTAGGATCCTTATTATAGGGATCCCCAAATAAGGTCCCCCGATTTTTTTTTGGAAACTCCCAAATCTAAACCCGGCAGCCCGATCTCAACGGGTCCCTCTAAACCCTCAAGCCCCTAACCCCCCCCTAACCCTCAAGCCCCTAAACCCTGAACCCCTAAAATTTGAAGTCCCTACCTTAACCCCACGTAACCTACCTTTTTTAAAGACTTATATAAAGAAATCATATTAGGGAACTTAGGGTCCAGGTAAACCCTAAGCCTCACCCCTTCGAAGCATCCGAGCCTCCGGGATCCTTCGAGATCCGAATTCCCAATTTGAGGGTCGGAGCTTGCATGGACTCTTGTTAAAGGCAGGCATTTTAAGTTACCAAAAATAGTAATAAGACTAATGATAGTAATGATAAGAGCAGCGATCTATTGTAAGTAACGTGATTGCCTTATGATGGTATCTTACACCAGTTTCCTTCACAAGAACTCAGGAATACCTGGTAGTTAAGTAATGCTACAGTCAGCCCCAAGAGGTTGGAACATGGGCTAAGGAACAGTAGCTCTAAGGTTCCTCATGCTTTACCTTAATGAGGTTAATAATGTTCTACTGGGAGTTTCGAAAGAAGACGGCACCCTACAAAGACCCCCTGACTAACTCCATAGTGTGGGGTTAGAGGCTTTCGGGTTACCGGTTTAAGCTTCTATACTAAAACCCAAACCCTGAACCCGAACGCTGCATGACCGAAAAACCCTCTCGTAGACCTTCCCCTATAAACGTCTTGAAGATCGCATGCTATCGGTTATGGAAATGTCTAAAGCTTTAAACCGTAGGCCTTGTAGAGCCCATATAGCCGGACCCCACACTCCAAACCGCTACATGCGCATCCTTGTGCTTCAAATCAGGCACAGGCGGAGGATCTGCAAGGAGAGCAGCGGTTCAAGATCCACTTGCTCTACCCCTGGGCGGCTGGACTCTTCAAAGCGTTTTCGCGGGTTCCAGAAGGTTTTCTTCAAGATTCATATACGGGTTCTAATCATAAGGGTTTCTAGGGTGTTTGCGGCTTGAGTGTAAAGTTCCGGGTATGTGGTTTTTAGGGCTGGCGTTTAGGGTGTAGGTTTATAGGGACGAGGGTTTGGATCACAAGCTTTTGTGAACGAGTCTTGTTATGGGATTTGCTTCAGTGTTGGTAGGGTCGTATTGGCTTTACAAGGTACAATTATTCTGCTAAGTTAATGTCGAAGCCTAAATAAATGACAATATATTATTCCTTAGGGTTTCCTAATACAGGAGCCCAAAACCCTATTCTAATTATATAAGGCCTTTAGGTAGAGGATTGTAAGGTCCCTAACCACGACCCAGATTGCTGGGCTTACCTCGGTGTTTCTTGGAGTGGAGCGGAGACAGCCTAAGTTCCAAAAAGCTCTTCGCTTAAGACTTCATGACATGCAGACGGCGGGAACATAGCACGCCAGCCTTCGTGGCCCTGTTCTCGAAACACCTAAAACCTACACCATTTAACCACTGGCCCTATACGCAACAAAATCCCAAACCCAAAACCACGGACCCTACCTCAGACACCCCCACTTGGAGGATCATGGGACTTAGTAAGTAGGTTATACTTGGGGTTATAAGTCCGCTAGGTGGGGTTATCCTAATTATAACCTACTTATAACCTTACTTACTAAGTCCCATGAGCCTTTAAGTAGACCCTAAACCCTAAACCCTTCTCATAGAACCCTATATAGTACCCTTAAAGGGAACCCTAAGCCCCTAAGTCCCATCAGCCTTAAAGTACATCAGACACCCCGAAGCCCCGGACCGCCGCAGACAAGGCCGCCAGGCTCGTGACCCATCCCAGTCTCCTGGAAGCGGCAACTGGTCCGTTTAGGGTTTTAAGGTTCAGGGTTTAGGGTTTAAGGTTTAGGGTTTAAGGTTTAGGGTTTATGGTTTAGGGTTCCTACCCCACAAACCCCAAAGTCCGCATACGGGTTGCGGGGTTGCCTAAGCCACCCAAAAACAGGCAGAATAATTGCCCAACACTTACAAAGGGCCATTGCTCTGCATTCTTTTGGCGTCCAGGTAGGGTTCAGGTCAAGGGTTTGCAGGGGTTAGGCTTTGATCGTGAGGAAGACGTTTTTGCTCTTTATTCAGCTTCCCATGTCAACTCGGCATCTCAAAACCGCAAAGCCTACCTGGAGATCCTTGTTGTCCCTGTGTAGTTCTGGCATACAGAGTGCACGTGCAGGAACTAAGATGTAACATTCTAAACAAAAAGATTCTAGAGGGGTTAGGGTTTGCGAAAGGTGATGTTGTAAAGCAAATCTGAGATTGCCTCCACAATAAGGTCAGAATCGCTACCACTGAACCCTCAACCCTGAGCCGTAAACCGTTGAACAGTCAACCCTACACACCAACCACACCCTACACCCCAAACCCCTAAAGCCTAAACCCTACATCCCAAACCCTGCGCCGCTACCGAACCGACGAAGGTGAAAGCCGGCTTGGGGACCGAGCCGCTCGGCAGTCTAAAGCGGGCTCTACCCAGAGACACAAGGGTAGGTGTCAAAGATAGGGTCCCCTTTTTGGGTACCATAAATAATAGGTGCCGTACTATAATAGGGACCATATTATTGACAACCATCCACAAAATTTTTAATTGGGGAGCAGGCCGTGTGGCATGTTTTGGGTTTTTTTCGCAGGGTTCATAAGGTATATGGGTAGGTGTCAAAAATAGGGTCCCTTTTTGGGGTACCCTAAATAATCGGTGCCGTGCTATAATAGGGACCCTAAAAGGGACTTTTAATTGGGGAGCAGGCCGTGTTACATGTTTTGGGTTTTTTCGCAGGGTTCATAAGGTATATGCATGACATCATGATATGAGGGGTTTTAGCGCTGTTTTGCGGCATACTGTGGGGTCGGGGGTTTGGCCCTGGGGTTTTGGGGTTTGGGGTTTGTAATAAACCATGAACCCTACACCCTAACCCGACGGTTTAGGTTTTAGGATTTAGGTTGGCCCATGGCCTGAACTCTACCAAGACACCGGGCTTGACCATCATTTAGCGGCCTGTGTTCAGGGATTTCGGGGCTTCAGACAACTCCATGCCCTGGATGCCTGTGCCTTAACCTACGACAAACTACTTTTTTGTAGGTTCTTGTTACAAACCGTCATAGATCATATAGGGAACCAGGAGGAAATGGGTTGGCTTTGGTTGTTTAAGGTGTTCCCTAAACTACGGGCCCTAAGCCCCAAGCGCTTAATCTGAGACCCGAAACCCTAATCCACATTGAACAGCGTCGTTCTAGAAATCAGGTGCCAAGTGAGAAAACTTCGGTGCAGATTGCAATCATTGCTATGACAGCAACAGGTTGTCAGTGCTGATACGGTCGGCCCCTTCGAACTTTCCGAGTTTTGTGCAGTCTCGGTTTCGTCGCGGGACCATGCTTGTGATGGGTCATTGGATTTCATTATGCAAATTTTGTCCCTTAACTCTGCTGCCGGGCTACAGGAGTTGGGAACACAAGCTGGAACTGACCAGAAACCGGTAACTGTATAATGGCCGCAGACCCCAAACCCCAATAATATAGAGGCCTGAATGATTACCAATGCTGTTTTGGCGGCTCCGTATTATAACCATAGTATGATATGCCTTCAAGCCGGGGTTTAGGATTTAGGGCCCTATGTTTCCCCAAGCCTTACGTCTCCAAAAGCGATTTTTGCCAGGAACGTCCTCGTGTGGTTTTCGGAGGTCAATGCGAAGGCTGGCAACTGTGCAAAAGCCTCAACACTCCAAGGCTCTTAGTGGGGAATGGGTGATTGGGTTATAGAGACTATTATTGGGGATTATATACCTGGACCCTAAGGAACCTACCTTTTTAGGGTTCCCTAATATGATTTCTTTATATAAGTCCTTAAAAAGGTAGGTTACGTGGGGTCAAGGTAGGGACTACTATAGGGATCCATTCCCCCCATTCCCTACTAAGCACCAGGGAGCGACTCCAAGGGCAAAAGGAGGGACCCTTAATAAGGACCCCTAGGTATATACCCGTACTATAGCTATGGATCTCCTATGCAGTACTCTTAAGGGTTGAGGCTACTGGGTTTCCAACTTTTGGGCTTCTACTGTAAACCTTAAACCCTATTATATACCCATTATATAGCCCATTATAGGGTAGGAGTCCCCATTAAGGGTCCCTCCTTTTCCCCTTTGAAACACTGACACTAGGTAGTATTATTTGAGAGACCCCTTGAAGGGTACCCCTTCTGAACCCTACTGCTGGCTCTCTTAAAAGGGGCCTTATTATCCCCAAGGGTCCCCTCAATCCAAGCTCCCAAACACTCAAGCCCCCAAAACCCGAAGGTGCCAGAAGAGCTTAATATCCGGGCCTTAATAATTGGGGTTTCGGGGCCCATTATAGTATATTTATAATAAGGAACCCCCCAAATAGTATAGGTATTTATTAGGGCCCCTAGATTACTTGGAAGTTCAAGCTACCTGCAACATCAAGCAAATCCATCCGCCCCTAAGCCCTATATCTTAAAACCGAAGCCGTAAAACCAAAGGATCACAACCCTAAACCTGAAACTCGAAACTCTGCTTTATTATAAATGGAAGTGCATGCGTGAACAAATCTAAAACTCAAATTATCACGTTACTTTGCGGTTCTGCACCTGTACCCCCCAAAGCAGTCAGTCCCTGGAGCAAAGTTGCCTTGAACTGTGTTGCAGGTCAGCTGTAAGTAGGCTAAGTAGATACCGGTGTCCCTCCTTCATATAGTAGGTCCCGACAAACTGATGCGTTTAATATGAAGGCAGAACAATTATAACTATATCCCAAGTATACTTATACTGGGCCCGAAAACCTCGTCCAATCATTCAGGCCGCTCTGTTAAGTTTCATCAAAAGCCCAGGCCTTAAATTCGTTTCAACCCCCCTCCCGCCCCACCGCCCCACCCCCGGTTCGAAACCCTGGTACCCTGGTACCCTGAGCCTCAGAGCCTAGAAGCCTTATAGGCTCTGAGGCTCCCTAACCCTTACACTACTGTAAGACAGGTGGTAGCCGGGCCTTGTAAACTTAAGACCTTCGGGCACCACAATTGCCACAATATGCAACCTATGCGAAAGGTCCGTCAGGAGGATGTAATACGCCAAGCCTTTGTCAGCTACAACTTCAGATTTTGTTTCAAAAATTAACCCTAAACTAGACCCAATCCCACACCCTAATTCCATGAACACTGGGAGAAAATCCAGAACTTTTCGTGAGGGGCCGCTATCCAGCCTTCACGCCGCGCCACATCAGGCAAAGAGCCAGCCTTCATGTCGATACGATGTGTCTTGAAGGAGCTTATAACTTAAGATCTCATGGTAAGCAATTTTTCTGATTTTCCGAAGCATCTTATGTAGCAGGCTGCAACATAGAATGACTTTATTTTGTGTGTGCCTTCACGGTGCAATAAGAAGGTTCACAGCGGCTCTGGTTCTCGAAGAGCTGAGCGTTCAACAGGTTTGATTGTTCAAGGTTAAGGTTACAGGATGCCCAGTAGTACCCTTATTCCCTTTTTGTAGTCCTAGGTTCCTTATAAAGTTACCCAAGACCAAAAAGAGAGGCCTTTCTATTCTTAGGTTACTGGGTATCCTACCCTAAACCCTAAACCCTAAACCCTAAACCCTAAACCCTTAGGTTACTGGGTATCCTAGGGTTGCAACAGGATATTGCTTGAGGGCCGCTCGTAGACTTTGAGCGAGCTACGGTGACAGCAAGATGTAGGCTTTCAGGGGTTGGAAACACCGTAAGCCCTTGACATCCGTAAAGCCTCAGCATTACCATAAACCCTACATTTTTTCCAGGTTTTATGTATCTTCCGCTTGGGGCCTTATACAGGTTTTGGAGTTTTGAGCTACGTATTGGTTTTTGACAAAACCATACTAGCTATTCTTGCATCTTGCATTCAGGCCCCTTGGTTCGCAACTCAAACCCTAAACCCTAAACCTGTTTCGTTTGGTTAACCTAGGGCTCCTCCTCGTCATTCATCGTACCAGTAGTACCCTGAAAGGGTTCCTTACTCTGTCGGGGCTTTGGGTTTACTAGGTCCCCAGTAGTGCCATTTTGCCCTTTCTCTCATTGTGCTCCTTGATTACTGTAAACCCAAATAGGAGGAAGGGTGTACCCTGATTATGAAGGGGCTACTGGGGAACCTAGTCATGCGAGAATGTGCCCCCAAAACCCTCCTCTATCTTAAGAGGTAAGGCTTAGAAGCTGCCCCCACCCTGTAATAGTGGTATAATAGGAATATAATAGGGCCCCATTATAATATTAACATGATCCTTATAGTCACCATTACAGGGTGGGGGCAGCTTCTAAAGGGAACTCCAGAAAGTTGGAATATGGAATAATGGCAGGATCCCTTATATTTTACCTTAAAGGGATTATGATAATGATATTCCAACTTTCTGGCTTCTACTGTAAGTAAGGCCCTTAAGTTACCGCAACCAACTTGTCCGCTCGGGCTTCGACACCAAGTCAGAAACTATATCCGGAAGATACGAGGCCTTACGAGGCAGTTTAGGGTTTAGGTTTTGGGGTTTAAGGTTTGTTGTGATGGGCAACCGAACTGGACTGGAAATGTGGTTCATACGGTTGATGATATAAATCCTGCACTACCCATAGTAAGGAATATACCATAATTTCCATAGTTTAAGGCCCTTAAGCTAATGCAGGATTTGTATCATCAACAGTACATCGCAACACGTGTCCACTTGTGCAGTTGCGGAGCAAGGTTTGTCAGAGTCTCTAGGCCCTGAAGCGCACTCTTGCCCAACAGCTAAAACCCGAAACTTCGAACCCAAAGAACCGATGAAATACATAGACGTCGTGTCGGAGTTAAGTCTGTTGCAGTCCGTCTACCTAGGTTGCTAGAATCCTGAACTACAAGGTGAATTGCAAGACATCGGCGTAGATTCTTAGATGCTTCAGTGACCGAGTCGAAAAGTTAGAGTTCCGGCTAGGCTACTAAGTATATACCCAGAACGCCTGTGCAGGACTTCATCTTCGCAAGCTTGGCGCCTAATGATGCAGTGTTAACTGCTTGGTTGGCATCTCATCCGCATTTCGGGTTCTGCATGGACCGTTGAGCTCTTTAACGAATCCCAAGCCACGACTCCGGTAATAAACATTGAGCCCTGAAACCTAAACCCTCGGACCCGGGTCTTCACTTTTGGATTCGGCATCTGGGTTTGGAATCTGGCATTCAATGTCCATCCCCTGTCATAGAGGCTTAGACACTGTCTCGGATACTACATCCATGGGCTCTTCGTTATAATCAGAAGCCAAATATGGAAAACTGTGTCATAAATATCAAATGGCTTAATATTTGTTCCGTTTTTTATACATGCAAGATCTGTATGCACATACAGATATATACATACACATCATACTTAATCTGTATATATACATACACACACATACATGTACATGTACGTCCTGCTGTATATATATATACACACACACATATGTACACATACATTTGTATACTTGACCCCCGAATCAATATGCATAGAAACCCTTCTCTCAAGCCCCTGTAAGACCGGTGAACACTGTGTAGAACCCGAGTCTGATTATGCAGGTCCCTGTACTGCAGGGGCCTTAAGAGTTAGAAATGGGTTTTGGGGGCCCCTTTTTCTAGTATTATAATAAGGAGGCCCCCCAAAATAGTACCATGATACTATAATTTATGCCTACGGAGCCCCAAAAAGAGTATTGGTCATTATTGAGGCCCCTACAGAGTTCTGCTTGGGGCTTGGGGTGTCTAGGGGCGGCTCTCGGGACTAGGACTCGCCGTACGGTTGATGATATAAGCCCTGCATTACCTTGATGACCCTACTTAGAAGATCATGGGACTTACTAACTAGGGTTATACATAAGGTAACTACACTTACAACCCGAATTAAGGTGCTTATAACCTTACTTACTAAGTTCCATGAGCCTTTAAGTAAACTATGGGAATTATGGCCTATTCCTTATTAATGGGTGATGCAGGATGTGCACCACCAACAGTAGGAAGCAATTTCGAAATCCCCAGAAGAGCATGTCACTCTGACCACAAGGACTCGCCCTAGTTTTGGTTTGGGGTTCAGGACATATGTTACGTACCAAAGAGGGGCCATAGCTAAGAGAACTAACCATACTGTCGGTGGACCAAATCTTCTGATACTTCTTTTGAAAGCTTGGAAAGCGAATGGCCTGCATTACCTACTGGAATCCCAAGCTCCAAGATATAGGGACCATAGTGAGTTGAACACGGTGTTGGGATCTTTTAAGACATAACATAGGGACTATGGGAAGAAGGGAGTACCAATTCAGCAGACTTCTTTAATATCTGAAAACATACGAGTCGTCAGGTGTAGAGGTAAGGATAATCTGGTTCTAGGGTTTGAAGTTAGGGCTTGGAAATTCAAGTTTTTTGTTGTTGCTCCTTCCGTAGCTGGCATCAATCCTAGGCACTGACGGATGCCGCGACAGAGATGGGCGGATTGTTCTTTCGGTGTCTTGGCTGGTGCGGTCTTTTAATGTAGCAGCCCAGGTCACTCAATAAGATACAGCATCTGCCCCTTCACCATGTGGGAGTTTCCGAAAATTAGGGGTACCTAAATTCTGGGGTCCTCATAATAAGGATCCTACTATTTGGGGTACTAAATCAGGGTCCCCTATTTTCGGAAACCCCCATGTACGTCTGCGAAGTGCTTGTGTATCCAGACGGTTCAGGGCTTAGTGGTTTGAGCTTCTGATCCAAGGGTAAAAGGAGGAACCCTTAATAAGGACCCCTAGGCATCTACCCTTAATATAGCCATTATATACCCATTATATAGCCGATTATTGGGTAGGGGTCCCCATTAAGGGTCCCTCCTTTGGCAGAACGCTTATGTTCCCCAATAGCTCGCACTTAGTCTATAACAGAGGGCAGTCGCGGGTCTAGGTCGGGTTTGGGGATTATGGGCTCAGGCTTGAAGCTCTATGGCTCAATGTGTTAGGGTCGAAGTAGAAATCCGTCCCAGGTGTAAGCTTCAGGCTTACCACTTTTGCGCGCAAGCTTCGAGGTTCAGGTTGAGGGCTCGAAAAAGTATGGCCTGCACATCTCAGGTTAGCTTGAGCTTAAACAAGCTTAACGCCGCAAGCTTCAACACAATAACCCCTACCTGGAGGATCGTGGGACTTAGTAAGTAAGGTTATAAGTTGCCCTATTTGGGGCTAGAAGTACTCATAAGTATAGTTACCTAACTTATAACCCTAATAACTCACTAAGTCCCCTGATCCTTTAAGTAATCCTTGCTCACCCTCAACCTTAGACCCCCAAACCTTGAACCCTGCACGGCCCTAGACCTCAGACTATATCCTAAATCTTGAAGCTGACACCTCCCTGAAGCTTGAAACCCTAAATGTGAGAGCCCTATGCCTCAAAATGCATGCCAGACCTTATAACTTATAGCCTTCAGTTTTTCACAACCCTAACATTCAAGCCCTAAAGTTTAGGGTTGGGGTTTTCCGGTGTCTTTTCTCTGTGGAGCCGCAGTCTAGTTGTGCCTTGCTTGCCCATAGCCGACCGTAGCAATGGCGGACATGTGAGTGCAGCAAAATTCTTTGCGAGCTGTTCTCGGGCGAGAGAACATCTTGACTGATTTTGAATTGGCAAGCCGTGAATTGCAGAGACTTCGTGTCACCAAGAAGGACCTGGAATGGGTTGTGCACGGGTACTTGTCTGCCTTCGCGACTGTACATGCATTGCGCAACAGATCATGGCAAATGGATGCACTCAAAGCCCTAAACCCGATCCGAAAGCCTAAGCCTTGTATACCCTCACCTTCAAAGCTCAACATGTGTAAGAGATTCGATTCGCAAAGAGCTGTGCCTGCAAAGGCGTCACTCGCACCTTCACGGCCAACTCCCACATTGCGTGGACGACAAGGCCAGAATCCTTTTAATTAATTCAGCTTGAAGACGCAGGACTGGGCTTGAAGTTGTTTATTTGCAGTCTTTGGTACACAAGAAACAGTTTCGAGCTGAGCCCCTACATTACGTGCATGCACACATGCGTACACATACATACTTATACGTTCACAAGTAAGTACATACCTGGGTACGTTGTCACTTTCTCCACATCTGTATGCATTTGTACAGGCACGCGCACACATATAGATTCATGTCTATGCTGATATGCTTATCCTTGTATACATGCGTGCACGTTTACTCACCACTGTTGGCGGGTTTCTGCCTGCACGATGACATTGGTGTGCAGACCTTGGCCATATGCAATTTGGTGAATTTGCCAGCCCGTACATGCAGTTTCCGGTTCAAAGTTGTGCAAATGTCTAAGCTTGGGGTGCTTATGGTTTACGGCATGACCTGCGGGATACTGAGTTCATCTTGTTTGTGGTTGAAGGCACGGACGCTTGACCCTACGTACTCTGCCATCATATCAGAATTAAGAGCATCGTTAGGGTTGTGGTCGCCACCCGTTCACGCTGCTGACGAGGATTAGGCAAGCTTGAGCCTCGCAATCTCTGACAAACCAGAGACTCCAATGTCCCTTAAGTAACGAATATTCCTTAAAATATAGTAGGATCCCAAATATGATTTAAGGAATATTCCTTAATTAATTATTGCAATCTCCGAGTACTGGCTAGCGGGCCCGTGCCCTGCGCGTCCTGTGACTCTTGTGGTAGTTTCCTCAGGGATTCTAGAACATCCGTTGTGAACGGCACTTTTGAAACCCTCAGCCCTGAATCCTAACCTCGTATAGGGGTCTAAGTATTACCAATGCTACCTTCGGGGTTCCCCATTGGAGTATACTATACCCCCCAACCCTATTCTAATTATTAAGGCCCCTAAATCCTAACCCCTTTGATCCCCAACTCTACCCAGGCGGAAAATCTGATCGGCTTCCATTGCTGCGATGCTGAGTTTCTGGCTGGGGCGCAGGACAGGGTGAATTAGGATCCTTCAAAGAAAACAGCGATGTTCCACACCGAGCATTCAGGAATTTAGAGCCAGAGGTTTTAGTCTTGATCAGGTTTCTTCAGTAAAGTTACTGTTGAGGAACGTAGGAACCTGATAAGAAAGCCTGGGCCTATAACCCCAAAATAGTAGGGTTCATATAAGGAACCCTAATAAAGGCCCAAGGTTTCAGGTTCCTACATGAAACCCAACACAGAGGCCTGAAAAATTAGAAGAGGGTTTTGGGGTATATTGTACTACTGTGGGTGGAGGAAATCTTGCACCACTTTTAAGATATGTTATGTAGCTTCACCCCTCCCCCCTTCTTAACATTGCTATGAACATGGGGTTTTGCAAAATCGTTCCAATGACAGAAATCTTGCACCGCCCCAAGAGATCTGTCGTCAATGTTCAAAATGGGGCGCGGGGTTGTTGCTCGGATATGTATTCGAAACACTGTGTGTAGGTGGTGCAAGATTTCCTCCATCCACCGTATGGTTATAATAAGGGACCCCCCAAATGAGTGTGCGAAGTTCGAGACTCTTTGGTTGCTTTAGGGTTCCGTGCCCTCTAGCCTGGAAGACCAACTGCGAGGTCGGAGCAGCAGTTTACGGTGTTGGGCCAGTGTTGGGTTTAGGGCTTAGGCTTTAGGGGGTTAAGGTTTAGGGGTTCAGGGGTTTAGGGTTTGGGGAAGTTTAGGGTTTGGGGTTGAAGGGTTTAGGGCTTTCCTTAACCCCGAATATTTCTATTTTTAAGGACTTATGTAAGGAAGTCATAATAGTAATAGTGAGGAGCCCCCAAAAAGGCAGGTTATTTGGGGTTAAGGCTGGGGTACACAAATTTTAAGATCGGATGGACCTGGCCTTGACGACTGGGCTTCGACACGGGAGGGTCAGGATCATGGGGAGACTGGCGGACTTAGGACTGCCTTACTTAAAGGCTCATGGGGCTTAGTGAGTTATAATTAGGATAACCCCACTTAGGGGACTTATAGCCCCAGTTACAACCTACTTACTAAGTCCCATGATCCTCCAAGTAGTAGCTGAGTGGATAGACTTTACACTTTTTGGGATAATATTACCCACTATAAAACTGAAAGTGTGCACTTTGGGGGGCTTATGAACTCAGCAACTAAGCTGCAAGCACCAGCGCAGATAGCAGGACCGGAGCGGCGAGGGATGGATGTAGATGAAGGCAATCAGTAGTACTGCACTCGCACATATGCACATGCACATATATATATATATATATACATGCAACGTCGTGTACTACTACCTCCTGGCGTTCTACGCCTCGGTCGTTGCGGGCCCAGTGTTTGCACTGGGGGGCGAATAGTACACTTGGTGATTTGTGTGCGAAGTCATACAAAAAGAATGAAAAAGAACATCTAAGAGCCAAGACGGCCAATCAAGAAAGTGACGATGAAGAAATGACAAGAGCCCTGATGGCCGTCTCTCCCATGGTGCTGGGCCTGGGATCCACTAGTCAAGGGGCACACGATGCCCAAGAGGCCCGGAAGGCCCATCGTAAGGGGATGACTAGCTCCAGGTTCCAAGCTTCATGGGCTCTTAGTGGTGGTTTCAGTTTTGGACCCTGGGGTAGGGTCTTGGTGTGTTTTGTTCTGCTTGGGTTATGCTCTCCGGCGGCGGGTCACAAGTATTCGCTAGTCGGGAGTGTTCCCCTCGACCACTGCCCTACGGGCTGCCCCTCGTCTCCTGTTAGTACTCAGCCATGGTCCTGCAATGGCACCATGGAGGGCGTCGATGGTGACTTCGACCTCATCGTTGACGCGCTGGGATTGGCGTGGAGTCGGGCCTCGCTTGCATTTAATCAAACTGCCATGGCCTTAGACGTGTCAGTGTGTTTTGCAAGTGCTTTTTGTGTGTGTGATGTTGGCTTACCAACGTCATGCCAATACTTTGCGCGAGCTGCTGAAACTGTGGGCTTACCTATGGTCTTGGCTCCTGTCTTTGTCGTCTTCCTGGCTTTGCTTGAGTCGGGTCGACTTCTCCTCTCCTGTCGGTCGTCCCCGAAAGGTTGTCCGCAGGTCTTTGTTCCTCGTTCCTGTCGCGTGGCGGTCCGTCGTCGTGGGGTGCGTAGAGTTTCGCTGCGGCGGCGGGTCCTCCCGTGTCGTTTCGTTCGTCGTCGCCGTGTCGGGCGTGCGCGTCTGCGTGCTCGTCGCAGAGCTTCTGGGTTTCGTTTTCGCAGACTGCTGTACTGGTCCGCTGGGAAAGCTCCCTTCTCCCGTCGGTCTGTTGTTTCCGCTGAGTCTGAGTCTGAGTGTTCTGTCTCGTCGGCTCTGCCAAGGGAGGCTGGAGCTTGGTTCCGCGTCCGGGGCTGGGTGTCCACTCTGTGGGGCTGGGTGTCTTCCTTGGGGTTCGACCCGTTTAAGGGGTGCAGGGTTGGTGAGGCTTCAAACCCCGGGCCAGGGGGTAGTCGCCGCACAGCCCGCCTTCGCCAGCAGAAGAGCCACGGAGGTGGTGCTGGCTCGGGCCTGCTTGCCGGCGTTCCGGCGGGGGTCCTCAAAGCTTTAGTGAACGCCGTCGTGCAGGAGCTGCGAACTCAGTTTCAGGTTCCGCTGTCGCGCCGGCCTCGTGTTAAGCCTCGTAAGGGCAAGACAGGTGTCGTGCCTAGTTCTGAGTCGGCGCCTCAGTTTCCTACTTCCAGTGCACGTCGGACTGTCGTTGCTGCTGAGACTGGGTGGGCTGGGGCTGATGACTGGTGGGGCACAGGGTATCACGACTGGTATGTCGATCCTGAAACGGGCTGGTGGGAGCCTTGGTGGGGGTACGGTAGTCAGGGTGTTTCTTGGTGGACTGAAGGAGGTGCCGAAGCAACCTCTTGGCGAGCCCGGCCTCAGACTGAGACTCGTGAGCTTCCGGCGTCTTGGGCTCAGAAGGTCCAGAAAGGGCTTAAGACTGCGAGTCCTGGCTCGGACAAGGACGGTGCTACGCCTGTGGAGCATGCTTTTCTGCTTGCTTCATCGTGGCCTCAGAACGGTGTGCGCAACGTGTCAGCAGTACGCAAGTCTCTTGAGGCTGGTGAGTTCCCTGACGGGGTTGTTACTTGGTGTAGGAACGACTTGGAAGCCAAACAGCTTATGCAACTCGCCACGCTGCATGAGCTTAAGGGTCGTTTTGCTCTACTCGTGAAGAGCAGTCCCGAGGACAAGTCTGGTCAGGCTGCTTCCTTTGCAGTGACTAATGGGAAAGAAAAGTGGCTGGTCCCGTTCAGGATGCATCCTTTGGTTGCAGCACAGGGTCTGCCGCCAGTGCCTGCGGCCTTAACTCAGGCGGCTAAGACGCCAACTGCTCCTGAGGTCGTGAGGCTCTCGGTTACGGTCCCTAAGGTCCTTGTGCCCAAGGATTTGTGGGGTTCCTTTAAGGACCAACCAGGTGCTCAGCTCAAGTCCTGGTGTGAGAGGGTATGCCCTGGTGCTTTGCGCCAGAGCTTCTCTTGGCGAGAGACTACTCTGTCGCAGCGTGGTCAATCGTTAGTCGTTCTGCAAGGGCTTGCTGTTGTCGACAAGGCTAAGGCTGACCGACTTCTCGCTTGCTCGGGTCAGGGTGGGGTCTTTTTCTGTTTTGACAAGGCGTCGGCGCAGAAGAAGGTTCCTGTTAAGTGGCTTGAGTGCTTGGAGGCTGAAACCATGCCTGCTTACTTGAAGCGAGTTCAGGATGAGGCCAGGGCCTCTGGGCTAGCCATGGCCTGGAGGGTTGGGGACCCAGTGCAACTTGGCTTTCGCTGCAAGCCTGGCATGGGCCCTAGTACGCCTGGGGTGACTGCTGCTTGGCGGGTCCGTAAAGTGCCTGCTAGCTGGACTGAAGAAAACCTTTTGGAGGCTCTTGCTAGTGCTGGGTGGCATGAGCTTTCTGTCACTTCGGTGCCCACCTTTCCTAGGCGTCCGTGGTTCATCAGGGCTAGGGCCCCGCATGATGCTCCCTGCGATCTTCTTGGCATTGAGATTGGTACAGATGCCGCTCTCTTGCTTGATAGGGTTGTTGGCCGTAGTCAGGTCAAGGTTTCTTCGCAGACTCCACTGCACCCTCGGTTTGCTAAAGGCTCCGACAGGTCTGCTAACCCCAAGGCTCCTGGTCAGTCTTGTGCGGCTCCTACTCGGGAGCCGGGGGCTCCTGCGGACGCTAAGGTTCAGGCTCAAAAGCGCTCTCTTTCTGCCGGGACGGTTGATCCTGATATGCAGGTTGATGCCGAGGGTGGCAGTGTTCCTTCGGATGCACCTAAGGACGCGACTAAGGCCGCTGAGCCCACTCAGATGGATGAGGACGACAGAAGTCCTCAGACTCGTTCTGGTGCTGCTGCCCGCGACAGGGCCCGCACACGCTCCCCTGTTGATGTCTCTTGGCGTGAGATTGATGCGGGCGGAGATGGGGCTTGTGGTTTCAACTCGGTTGCTGTCGCCTACGGGTTGAGGCAGGGAGAGGATGAGGCCGTGCTCCTCTCTAAATGCTGTGGCGCGGGGCAAGACCCTGCGTCAGCAAGTGCACCAGTGGATTGCTGAGCACAAGCAGGAAACTTCTGATGGCTGGGTCTTAGATCCTCGTGCCTCTGAGAATACTGAGGGAGGCTCGCTCCCTACCGACTTTGAAACGTGGCATGATAATATCCTCCGCCCTAACAGATGGATTTGTCAGTTTACTCTTCGTGCGGCCGCACGCCGTCTTGGAGTGCGTATCGTTGTCGTGCGTCACGACGGTAGCTCATGGGAAGAACCCTTTTAGCCATTGGAAAGGCCGCTCGTAGCACGCAGCCCTTGGTGCTTGCTCTGAGGGACGATCACTACACGGTGCTTGTCCCTAAGGCGCGTCGTGAGCTCCCTAGTGCGTGGGTCGACTGCGTGCCGCAAGGGGCTCTCAGTGACCACCTGCGTGGTGGCGGAGGCCCGCGTGGGTTTCAGACTGGTTCGGCAAGCTCCCAAGCTTCGGGCTCGGTCGCGCCTTCAGAGAGTGTTGCTTGGATGCCTCCGC